AATTGGATTTTAATCTCGTTCATACCGTACACACTGTCCGGTTCGATGACATACACGACCGCCTATTCCTATGTCGCGGTCACCACTCCTACCAAATACCGTACGTTACGTATGTCTGCTCTCGAAGTATTAATAGCCATAGGTTTGTCTTAAATTATAAATATTATTATTATTATTAAGTTTCTAGATTTATATTAAGATAAATTATATTATTTCTAATTTTTCCAATTATAATAAATGAACATAAAGATTGTAGACATAAAACAAAAAATTATTTACTAACTGTAACTAACTGTAAACAATCAATGTTAAAACTTATTTTTGTTATACAACTGTATAAAACTTTATATGCAAAATATATAACTATAAAACAATTAACATTATTGAAATGTATTGCAGCCCAACCGCTGGGAGTGTACACATCGGGTAAATTAATTACATGTACGCCATTGGGAGGCAACGGACAACTTCATAACTACGGCCTTATATTTGCGATCAGCAGTTTGGGTGCATTCGCAGCATTTCTATGGGCTGTCTTCGCCATCAATCAGGAGAGGGATCGACAACTGTTTCGGCATCACTTCGGCGATTGTCGACCACTTCTGGCCGACCGGACGGCCGAACAAAGTGCCGAATTCGCCGCAAACACCGAATACATACACCCCTTAAGGCTGTTGTTTAACGTGAATAATGTGCGCGAAATCGCCCAGACTTTGGCCAAACGGCGGCCCAATTACGTGAGGGCCCAGATATGGCTCGTGATTGCGGGTATGTTTGGCTGCTATTTCGTATGGACAGCTCCGGTGGCCTTTCTATTCCAGTTTGTCGAGAAGATCTACCGCTGGGACGCCCGGGTCTACACTGAACTCAGCTCAATTGGTATGATCGCTAACTCGCTCGTGGTCATTTTCATCACACCACTGCTCATCAAGGTATTTGATTAGCAATTTAAAAAACTAATAAGATTAAAATTATTTGACTATTTAATAATTGTTTTACATTGAAAATGATCCAGGTGTTCAAATTTAACGACATGATTCTGGCCATAATCGGCTTTTCTGGCTCATTCATGCAGTTGATTGTGTTGGCGCTGATCCGCACACCACTCGGCTATTTCGTGTCGCTTGTGGTCAACTGTACGGCCAGTTTGGGACCCATCGGCTATAAGACACATCTGTCCAAAATAGTGGACGCGTCTGAATTGGGCAAAGTATTTACCCTAATGGCGGTGATTGACGGGTTTGCACCGATATTTGCCGCCTCAATATTTACCGTGATTTTTCAACGCACAATCGACACGACCCCCGGCCTATGCTTTTTGATTCTGGCCGCCATTTCCATAGTACCGATACTAATAGCGATGGTCATCGATATCGTCGACCGCCTGGCCTTTGACACCAATATTGATACAATTAAGGCTAACATTGAGGCAACTGCTAAATGTAATAACAATAATGATGGTAATTATGGTAATTACCAGAGTATTAAGTGCAGTCGCGCCGATCGAGACAAACGTCTGGCCAGTTATTGCCAGTACGGCTGCAAAAAGGGCCGCAAAGATGGCCGTAAATACGGGTACATCGAGTCGGAGAATGATTGCGGTGTTGCCGACGACTACCCGGTCACTGACCCGACCACCAGCTCAGTCATCACTGATCACACCGACAGTCTCTGTATTGCCTGTTGTGACGGCACCTGTTGTTTGAGTACATAGTTAATTATTAGGTTAATAAATAAATTAAATAAATTAAAATTAACTTGCACTAATTTTTATAATAAATATTTATATTTATTTATTATTTTTTAATAATTGTTGTTTCATTCATTAAATTCAATTAAACAATAATGTTGCAACGAATGAATTTAACATAGAATGCACTTATTGAACAAATAAAAACTGTACCACGGGTACTGTTCAAGTACATTGTGAATAATGTTGTTATATTTGTGATAGTTGTATTAATTTATATACTTTAGTCCAAGTTATTTTGCAACAGGTGCATGACATTTTATAATCAGTGTCATTAAATATTATCGCTATTTTATGTATTTCTTAACTTAGGAGTTAATATTTTAATTATTAGTAATTATCATTAATTATCACATGTTTTATTAAGATTCAAGTAATATTCTACAAGATTAAGATACTAATTAAAAGTTAGAATTATTATTATATAAAAACAAAACACTTGATAGAAATTGTTTAAAAAAAATTAAATGTTAATTAAAAGTAAACTTTCAATGGTGTTAACAAGTTGTTACTTAATTAAATAAAATATTAAATATGACAAACATAAACAATAAAAGTTTTTCTTATTATGTTAAAACATTTGCTAAATTCACCACGTTGCTAAGAGTGGAGCCGTTTCTTCTATCATTCACCATGATCAGTGCTATGTATCAAATACCCGTAATGCAAATGGTACAGGATAAAATTTGCCGAACTACGTACGACCTGAACGCCACATATTGTGGCCGATTGCCGGGTATGAAGCCCTGGGAAGACGTGTTGAACGTCAAGTCAAAGGTGTTGGTCGACACACAAGAGTTGGTCACTTACTCGCAGATTATATTGACTGTGCCCTCGCTTTTTATCTCGTTGTTTGTCGGCTCGTGGTTTGATCGGTATATACATGCTAAAAAGATTATGATGGTTGCCGGTTCGTTATCGTTCTCTCTTCAGTGTCTCACCTTGGTCATTTTGGATTACTATTTTGTTTCTGGTATGTAAATATTTTTGCGTTGTGCATGTACTTTATTTTTAATTATTAAACTAGTAATAAGTGAAACAAACCATCTATATTTTAAAATTAATTTAATGTTCATTACTGTATATATTATTTATTTTACATTAGGTCCATATCTCGTATTATTATCAATGATTCCAGCGCTTGGCCTAGGTGGTATGTTTGTCACTATGTCAGCCATGTATGCATACATCTCGACCACAACACCACCACATATGCGGTCCCTCAGACTCACAGCAACAGAGATTGTCTCATCAGTTGGTTAGTAGTCATTAAATAATCATTTATAAATTATAATTAAACTTATTTGACTTATAATTATTATTTTTATTCAAAAGGACACCCAATTGCCTTATGGTTGGGCGGTGTGGCGCTGAACACCCAGTCGTGGTTCAGTAGTGGTCAGCATTTGAATTACTCGGCGGTGTTTGTGGTGGGCGTCGGTATCGGTGTGTTTGGTATGATTTGGACACTACTTATGGTAAATGAAGAGAAAGATATCATGAGATGGGAAGAAGCGTTTGGTTCAGTGGCCGACGACGGGATCACAAGTGATGGCGCGGATAGTGTTGTAGTGAAAAAGCTAAAGTCATTTGAAGACAATAAACACATCCATCCCTTGAAACTGTTGTTTGACTTTAAAAACGTTAAGGAAGTGATCGTCACGTGTTGTAAACCGAGGGCTAATTACGTGCGAATACAGATATGGGTATTGTTTGTGTCAATATTATGTTCACAATTAGCACATTCAGCTCCGGCTTACTTTCTCATGCAATTCGCGCAACGGGTCTATAACTGGGATTCGTCACAATTTAGCAATGCCTCAGCCTATGCCCAGATTGCTGTAGGTGTGGGTACTCTCATAATAACACCCATGCTCATTAAGGTAAATTATAATACTATAGCATTGATTGTAATTTTTGATAGATAGATTTAATTAAACCATAAAATTTAAGCAAATGTGATATTAGATAATTTAAAATAACAATATTATTATCGCTATACAGGTATTCAAAATAAAAGACACAATACTATCGATGCTAGGACTGGTGGCGTATTCGGCCCAAAACCTTATCCGGGCATTTGTATTGACTCCCAACGGGTTTTATTACTCCCTAATTCCGGGCACATTTGGCAATATGTCTAATATAGGCATTCGGGCACATTTCTCCAAGATAGTCAAACCCGATGAATTGGGCAAGGTGTTCACGTGTATGGGCGGTATAGAGGCCATAGTTCCTCTATTCGGTTCATTCATGTTTCAACAAATATTTGCCCAAACAGTGGACACAATGCCCGGCGCGTCACTACTATTCGTGGCCGTCGTCTTAATCATACCGTTTGCTGTGGTTTTTTGGATTAATTTCTATACAGTATTACCCGATTCTTTACCTATTAATAATAGTGAGAATAAAACGGGGAATTACGGTACGAATGGTACGGTAGGCAATGATCATCTAGATTCTCTTGAGCCATAAAATTTATATAAATATCATTATATGTTAAACAATTATTTATTTATTATTTATGCACTATTTGCCAAAATTGTTATTATTTATTTTATACTATTTATTTTTAAACATCCTAATTGATTATGTATTAAATATTAAAAAAAAAATTGAATATTGTATTTAATCATGGCACAATAAATTGGTAACATACTTATTTATGTTTATCTTTAACCAACTTAAGTAAATTTAATAAATTATTTATTTTATTACTAAATAAATATTTCTATACTATTTATAGAAGCATATTTTATTTAATTAAATTATGTTTATAAAAAAAATATTATAGAAATAAAACGTCAATTTTGTCAATCCATGTTAATAACATTTTATAGACTAATGATTAAAATAAAAATAATACACAATTTAACACAAGTATTTACACAAGTTAAACACATAAATGTATATTTTGAATTTTATTATTAAAAAATGTTAAATAAAATATATTCTATCATTATATTATATTGCAGTAAATATTTTCTATAA